GTGCAGATGGAGTAGACTATCACCTTCCTTCTCCACTCCTCGGGCCACTCATAATCATCCAATCTGTTTGGGGTCTGCATTCTTTGAAGTCTTACTGATAACTGAGAATCTTGAATCAATAACATGGGTCAAGAAAATCTTGTATTATCTGGATTTTACCTGTTTAAACTCGCACCAATTCTACTCATGCACCCTGTATGCTTTTTTAATGTTTATTTTGATTTTGCCAACTTTGAAGTTTACTGCACAACCTGGATTTGACAATCACAGGTACTCTTAGTACCAGTCCAAGTACTACTTGATATCTCGAGCAGTCATCCTCTTGAGACCATCATCTGGTCTATTGACATGAGGAGTCATTGATTTGCAGCAGCATCTCATGGGTTTTAGCTTAATAAAGGTCTCTACTGGCTACTTAGCTCCATGTAGTTGAAATGAAAGAATTTTTGAGGGAAAGAGTGAATGAAACTGCATCACTGGCCAGAACCTACTTGGGCTCCCTCATTATTTATGTATCTTTTTTGTAGCAGCTAGAACATTCAATGTTACTACATTCTTCTAAGCATTGATTAGTGAAAAAATTTGGGGTTCTCATTGGAAGTTTTCTGAGCGATAACTTCTACATCTATCCTAATGGGTATTATGTCAAGTTTCCATGCAGGGTCTTAATTTAAGGAAAGGCATTTATTGCATCCTCATGTCAGTTCATATGATGAACTGATGAGGATACAGAACCAATGAAAGATATTCAGTTGTAAGGAATGTCATTGCTTTCACACATAGTATCATTTCATCTTGTTGCATCCAACAAAGTTGATCAGATGATGGTTTGGCAGAAGTAGTCTTCTCCTCAATCGATGTCATCCCCTGCCTTTTCCTTGTCTAATGCACATTTCTTCAGAACCAGGTTTTGTGCCAGCAGTCCCACGATCGTGCATCCGATTCCAACCTCCAAGCTCAGGACTAGTCTGCAATCTAAAATCAGTATAAATCAAACTCTGAATTATAAGTCAATCTTCAACCTGACAAAATTTAAGTGAAGTGGGCAGATCAAGCTGCATATGCACTACAAGTGTTTCTGTGTTCCCTGATAATGGCACTTTAGCCAATGATGAGATCCTGTAATTGCAGATGTAATCACTTTGAGAATAAACTTAGTTTTGATGCAGTTTGGGGACCAATTTCCAAGACAAAGTATTACTGACTGATAATGATCCTTTTGCATTGTGGATACCATGGCTGTAAAGAGATGGAAAAACTGGAACTTCCTGCCACTCCTTAAGTAATCCAATTGTTATTAACTCAAGTCACTTTTGAGTGGGGCTTCTCATGAAATGGAAGGCTTCCTCAGCAGGTTCCTCTTGAGAACTTTGAACTACACATGTAACCTTTATGATTTCCAAGCACACGAGTTGTCATGAACCTGGTTCTCCTTGTTATGTGATTTGTGCAGTTCCATCCATAAAGGGAACCTATTCTAAATGTTGTTGTGCTGCTGAAGCATTCTTTCTGGAGCCAGGTCCTCTTCCTTGGGGTCCTTGTATGCCAGTTGGCCCTGTAATCTGATGATGTGGTCCTCAAATAGACCCTCTTTGGGATTCTGCTGGGCCTTTCCTCCACATCCAGTCACGACTGGTTTACCCTGCTTCCTCCCTTCCATGTGCTTCCTCTCCTTTTTCATCTATTTGACAGTCCTCTCCACTGCTTTCTGTTCAGATTCAGGACTCTTTGGAATAGAAAAGTTGGATAATTTTAATTGGAGCTATGAATATTTAAAGTTTAAGTTTTTGTGAAAAAAAAGGCAGAGCCCCATGGTCACTGGGACATTTCAGTTGAGCATGAAAATGAAACCATTTGAAATACCTTTTGCTTTTGACAGGTTAGTTGATTTAAAAAAAGCTTTGCCCCAATCAAGACCTCAGATATAATAAGTATTTTCCTTTTTTTTCTTTTGGTTCTTTTTCCCTTTATTCTTTTTTTTATATCTCTTTCATTGGTATAGTCATAGTTACTCATAATTTTTTTCATATGCTAGCATAAAAAGCACATGTTTTGATTCTTAAAATATTGTTCATATAATATTTTCACCACTCTCATGTTTGGCTATAGACTTGGTGCTTCTGCCAAGAATGACAGTATTTTTAGTCACAACTGATAAAACTGACTGTCGTTTCTAATGAATTCCAAAGTGGTCTGAGGCTGCCGTTGCATTTCTGTCCCAGTTTGGAGGTCATTCTGTCTTGCAGAGACCCAATGAAGGCAATTCAAGGCAAAGGTTGAATCTTTCAGAATCTTCT